GGGCCATGGATGATCTCTTCTCGGACCGGCTTAGACCATGGACGTCAGCATGCTTGGGGGGTGGGAGGAAGGAAACAACGTAACCTATCCCTAACCTAAACCCTAGGACACAAACCGCAACCCTAGAAACAAAGGGACGGGGGGGGCGAGGGGAGGTGTAGACGCCCGATTTCGCAAGCACCCCACCCCTGGCTTCTCACGACTCACACCGGCCACACCGACCCGCCAGAAGGATATTGTTTCAGAATCATGAAGAAACAAATGCTGCAACCCCGTCTGTTGTTCTGACACCCCCCAAAAAACAAATATCAGCAATGGATTGTGTGGTTTATGCATTATTGCCAGTAGGGAGCTTATTTGAACGCCGTGAAAAAAGGCAAGCGTGCAGAATGAATGAAAAAGGAAGAGACGTGCCCCTCGTCGTGCTAAAGAGCGTTGCTCTGGGGCTTGCTCGGTCAAAGTTGCAGCCCCTCACTGGCGCCAGTCAGGAGAACTCGGCTGGTCCCATTCAAACCGTTCCCCAGCGGTCATCGGCGGCTGGCGCCTCGGCGGCTGGCGCCTGCCAACCGCGTTTTCTGTCACCCATGTGAGGGCTCTGGGCAGGCCCAGCGCTTGCGTGATGGCCTTGACCTTGGAGTGGATCGTCTCGCCATGGGTGAATTTGAGACTTGCTATCTTTTCCCGCGAAACATGTTGGATGATGCAACCGGATGGATTGCGCACCTTGGCCGCCGAGGCATTGTAGATGGTTGAAACGCCATGGCAAAGAGCTGGAAGTCCTCTTTTGCTGAAAGGACTCCTTGATGCCCCGTTGTAACACTGCATGCAATCCGCCGACCCAGGTCGTCGGTTTGGGGAGGATGCGCTCCGAAGAACCTGTGGTATTACCAGGGCACTGTCGTCGCCACGGTGATGACACCCTCATCGCTGATAACAATTCGCCCAGCTAACAGCACCTCCTGCAACAGTAACAACAGCAGCAGCAACAACAGCAACAACAACAAAAATCAAAATAACAATAGCAATAAGAAGAAGAAGAATAAACACAACCAGCAAAAGCCTTGTGTGCGACACACCATGTATGTCCCTCTTGCAGCTTCCCGATGCAAGGCTCAGGTTCTGGCACCCACTTCTGCAGAATTGCCTGTGGCCCAGCCACCAAAGATTGAGGCCTTCCAGGTGCGAGATAACCCGTCTGTGATTTGGACCGTCGACGTGCCTGGCATCCCAACTCGTCAACCTCGACCTTGGGGAGAGAAGCAGACATCGAGAGAGATGGCGCTGCCTTGCTCTGAGCGTGCAGGCCCCTCCGACTCGGAGGCCGAGGCGATCTCACCTTCCTCACCTCTGAAACAGGCCGCTCTGACGCTGTGCGCTGCTGTCTCTGCGCAGTCTCAGTGCTGCCGGTCGAGTCCCTGGCGTTCCTTTCTGGCTCGGCCCTTGCCCTTGGACTCTTGCCGCATGCGCTGCAGCGCCTCCCGTGAGACATTTTGAACGAGGTCTCTCTCCCACATCCCCCTTCTGTTTGATTCTCCTTCTGGTCTTCCCCACTGCTCCCCTCAGCATGATTGCTGCATGTTGTTCTGTTGTGTTGAACTTGTGGTCTTCTCCTTTCGGCTGGGCGGCAAGAGTCGGCTTCTCCGCAAGGACGGGTGATGCTCCCCTCAATGCACTACAGAGGACACGCCACAGTGCTTTAGGGCTAGTATGGAAAAGGATCTTCCGTTTGCAGCCTGCTGTGGATCCTCGTGGTACCTGGTACCATATCTTCTCCTAGAACCGATCTGACATCCTTGTCAAGACAACAGGCCAACCACTCAGACACGGGTTGCCTCTCGAGTCTTTTGCTCGGTGTCCTCAGCCGAACAATCATGTTCAGCCTGTTTCGTAGACTGTGCCCTGTCACTTTGCAAGCCCCGCCACAGTTGATGAGACATTCAGGCTGGCCCTAGCAATGTTCAAAAGTCAAAATCTGGAAAAGGAGTGCCTGATACCCTGAATACAAAATTGATTCACGCAAAGACCCACACTGCACGAACAGCAGACATTCTGCATATGTCTCCAGGGATCACGCCATCTGCCAACGCGAAAGCTTGTTTCCATGGAAGCACAACCTAGACCATAGAGCTCAAGTCGCAAGAAGTATCTCCAGCTCAACTTGGCGGCTGCGGCGATTGCCAGTCTCTAGGACTCTAAATCTGCTCTTACACAAGTCAGTCATGTCCAGCTCTGACGTTGAGGCTGCTGCGGAGCTGAAGACGACGAACTGTTGGTAAGGAGATCTTGAGTGTCCAGCAAAGGCATGAGTATCCTCGAGATGGCAAAGGATCAAGCCTGCTCGAACTTGCTGAATCTAAGTTGTCGGCGGCGGCTTCTCCTTTGCCTTTGCAATTTCGGACTTCGAGTTGGGCAAGTTTGGACACACGACCTTTTGCAACTGTCACTTGACCCCACCTGGGCCCTCGGTGCTGACAGAGCCTCTCCTTCCGGCAACTGCAGCTCGCCGACGAAAATTCCAGAAACCCTAACTCCTCGATCGTTGAACCCAGCAGGCGTACGGCCGACACCTCCACGAAGCGAAGGGCACCAAGAACACCGAAGGACACCAAAGGAGACCAAAAGCACCAAGGGCAGTGCGCAAGTTTGTGTGGTATCTTGCCTGCAGCTGGGCTCTGGGACTGCTCCAGCTGGGCGGAAAACCCGAACTGATCCAGCCTCGGCAGAAGTCAAATCTGCGGGTGTGCTCCGTATGATTTTTGGCACTCGCACTCGACGAGATCAGGCGAGGTATACGGCGACAACACAACTAAGGACCGGGTGTGCTCCGTATATTTAATGATGCACGGTGTACAGGAAACACACTTGGATGGTATGCCAGGAGAAAAACATGGGCATATGACCACAACGCGCAAGTGACTACAAACGCTGCCTGCGGGACGGGGAGCACGGCGACAAAAAGGGGTGCCTCAGGTGCAGGCTAAACGCAAGGTCTCAGGTCACCTTCCCTTTCCTGATGCTCAGAAAGCAGTGGATTTGAGCGGCATGCCCAGGCGATGCATCTGGCGAGCTTGTTGAATCCGTTGAGGGCCCGAGTCCAGCCTTCGAGTCAAGTCACAGATGGATCGAGTATGCTCAGTGCTGGACTTGCCTGTCGCGGACATCGCGGGCTCATAATCTGCGGGGCAAAATGCGGCGATGCCATCGGTCCACGCGCTGGTGCCTTTCGTGTCAAGGCTTCCTGCCGGCATTGACACGAATCACGTCACGTCGAATCTCGGAATCAAGTGGGTTCCTGGTCCTCAGGACGCACACTGGCAGCCCGGTCCTCTGGTGCTTTGGAGGGTCGTGCCCTGATCGTGAATGCATGATAATGCATGTGCAGCCAACCTTGGGCATTGCATTTCCCAATTGATCCGAGTGTCGTTGCCACAGGGCTCATGGACACCTCGCTCTTCGCCACGCAGCATTCCAAGTACTGAATCCGCTCCTCGTCTTCGGTGGGGTGTTGCTACGTGCCACGGTGCTATGTCGGCTCCCAACCTGCTGATCCCTAAGCCGTTGGACGGCGGTCTTCAAAACGCTCAGATCCTCCCGGACCTGGCTGAGCGAACTTCACGGAGATTTCACCAGGATGCCGCTGCCTGGAAGCTGCTCAAGGGCAGGAAAGACTGGCCTTGGAAAGCCGCGTCGCTGCGACATGCCGCCTGCTTGGAGAATTGAGGCGGGAGCTGCAGTCCTGGCATGAGATGAGGTCACCAGTGTGCCAGGCAGAGCCTTGAGGGACCTGGTCGAGCAGCGTGATGGAATGCTTGCATTCACTGCAAGTGCTGCTATGGCTGGCGGTCTGACATTGAAAGAGCCACATGACGGACACGCGACCGGGATGCGCTTCAGAGCAGATTGCTGCCTGAAGACAGTCCGGGGCCGGGGTTAACATGCAATGCAGATGCAACAGCACTGTCACAATCGAACGGACGTCCTTGCAATTCGCTCCAGTGCTGCAGTTGCGCGACTTTGCAGCACGGCAGTGTCCTTTGCAGCATCCAACCGACTGTTGAAAAACCCTAAAATTGCCAGTATCAGCTCCGGACCGCCAACGCCTTTTCCAGCTGGGCCAGGTGCGCACAGCCGATGCTGCTCTTGCCCTGCCCCTGGCCGACAGCACCGTGACAGGAACAATTCAATCTCCGCAATGCAGTACGCAAAATCAGAGGGACCACGAACTCATGCAAATTCTGCTGTGCAGCAAAGAACTACTCCACACACTGTGTCTAAATGCGGGCCGCTGAGCCCTGCAGGAAGCCTCACACATATTCGGGGCCCTCCCTCTCCTCCCTCTCTGGTGATATGTGTGCCTGCACAGGAAGCTGCAAATCAGGCCGACTGCTCCCAGAAGACCTGAATCACAAGGCCCGGGGCTCGGGGGCGGGCAGGGCCAAGCTGCACTCTGCACTCGACTGGCATGCCGGAGGCGACTCCCTGGAGCTCCTTTTCCTGGCCGTCTCTAGCCTCAATGAAAAGTTACCATCTCGATGGGCAAGTGGCCGACATCCGCAAACCGAGACAAACTGACTCGCCTCAGCCAAGACTCAGGGACTTAGGGCTAGAAGCTCTATCCATCCTGCAGGAATGAAAGCTTCGCGCCTAGGCCTAGGCCCGAGTCGTCCTTGCGCCCTGTCCCTGGGTGCTGCCAAGTCACCCGTCCGGGTGAATGATGATCCTTTTCGAGACATCACCATCCGCAACAGACTGCTTACAAACGTGCTGCCAGGCCTCCCCCGACACGACCACACACGACGAGCATCACAGCTGGCTCGAAGCCCGGAATGACGAATTGGGCCCCATGCTTTTGCATCCAAGTTTCTCGGTTATGCCTGCGTTGTCGCCCCTCAGACGAAGCCAAGCTTCTGGCGGAAGTTGAAGCGCACGCATTACCTCCAGATGCGAAGACTCCGAAAGCGTAGGGTCACCGTGACTGAGTCCTATGCCATTGACACCTGCTGAATCTGAACATGCGTGCCATATGCATGCACAGCTTCCTGACGACATTAGCATGCCAAGCTTCAAAGTAGCGAATCAAGTTCATGTGACACACCTTAGCAGGCAGTGATTCTTTTACGTGCGCACGCCACACAGGAAGAGCAGAGTAGACCTCAAGGTATGGCCAGACCAAGTCGCATAGATCTCGTAGACGCGCTGCGGCTCTGGTTCCTTCTCGCTCTCCGTCCTCTCTGCCTCTTGCTTTTCCGGTGGGACATATCCTCAGGATATCTCAAGATAGCACTTGTAGATGTCCGGCTTGCGCCAACCGAAGGGCATGCGATTGACATGCCGTGTCCTTCTCCGAGCTCCTTCTTAAGCTTCTTCTCCCTCTTGGCTTCCTTTTCGGCAAGCCGCTTGTGGTCAACAGCGCGGTGCACGAACTTCCTGCGAGTGTCCATGGTGAAAGTAATTTATTGATGTGTTTCAAATTCCAAGAACCGCTCGAAATTGAAAAATGCAGTTCGTGGAATTCGTGGAAGAGTGGCATGAGACATGTCGAACTGGAAACACAAGAAGACTCAAACATAGGTGCTGGAGACATCTGCAAACATGTTCAAGAGTTTTCGGCCTGAAGCCCGCTTCCATGCGCGCAGAATCTTCCCAAATGTCGGCAGGTCGTGCTGGCTGCTGCGAGGTGGGATGGGGCACAGTTGGTTTGCCCTCGGCCAGAAGTGGATCTGGGTCTTGCACTGGAACATCCGGCAAGTAGCTGGACAGAATCTCCGCTGTCTGACGTGCTCGGGTAACAGTGCTGACCCAGATGCCACTGTATTGCACTTGGACCTCTCCATATCGATCTTTCTTCAAACCGAGTCTTTCCGATAGGAGCCTGCCAGGTTTGCTTAAGTTCTGGGGCAGCCTGCACTCGACACACTCAACAGCGTCTTTCGCCTCTGCCCAAGCTTTGCCGACTGCTCACGGCCCAGGTCGGTCAGCCTTGGCTTTGCAAGAGCCCTGCACTTTTCCTAGCAAGAAACTGAAACGTTCATACGCCATGTGTTCCAAACACGAGCCGGTCGGCCCATGTTCCTCATCATCCAAATTATACTGCCCGTGCCGGATGAGCAAGAGATGACGAATCGGTCCTGTTGTCTTGACCGGCGTGGTGAGAGACGTTGGCGGAGCTCGCCCGTCCCAATCACTATTCCATCCTCGCTGCCACAGCGAGCTCGCGTCTGAGCATTTGGAAGGGTCCTTCCACCAGTCCTTTTCTTCACAGCCAGGTCGTCCTTTTTTCCCATACTCCGAGTAGTAACCCAAGGCTAAGCCTGCTCCAGCCAAGATCACTCCGGGATTCCAGTGCCGATCTTCGGCTTTGAAACTGGCAGAGCTGGAAAAGGCTCTGCCGTGCTGAAACCATCGCGACACTCGCACCTCAGCCTGCACCCAGGGCCGCAAGGCACTCAAAGGCTGCGGAAGGCGTGCCATGGTTTCTTCCAAGGCAGTCTTTGTCCTTCCGATGCCTCCCCAGCTCTAACTGCTCTGCTGGCTGCGGTAGATATTGGTAAGTTGCGAGTTTGAGACATGTTTCCAGGCTCTCAATCGATCACCACACCTGGCTGCCGCGCCTGGTGTCTGCATCGAAGCTGCAGCCACGGCTTCGTCCGGCTGCAGCATCCGCATCCTGCACGTCGCACGTCCAGTCGGCTTGTGAAACTTTCGGAATGGGTGTCGTGCTCTAAAGTCTAAGATCCGGTCCGTCTCGCGGGCACCTTGGAGGTCCGTGTCCAGGCGGCTTGACCTCGGCAAGATAGATCCCACAGACACCGCTCCAGGCAAGGCCGAAAGCGAGGCTCTGGCGACGCTCGTTCCAGCGCGTCTAGCCGTTGCGTATTCAAAGTCTCCATGGTCAACTGCCTCCTGGCTCCGATGGAGACCCTCCCTCATGCAAAGGATCCTAGGGAGGGCTTTCTCGGCATACGTGGACAGTGCACAGGTAACAAGCCATGAAAGTGCCAGGCGACATGTGTATAGCAAAATGCAGCCGCATATCGCACGGTTTGCACATTGGGACCGTGCGATAGACGGAACGACTGACGAGAGAGGGAGAGGGAGCGAGCAGCATGTAGCTCCGACTGTCATCGCAGTTGGTTGGCACTATCACATTTATCACACGACAGAGAATCTTGGCAGCCCAATCTGACCTGCGCAAGCTTGAGTCAAACTAACTTCGGTAAGAATGATGGTTTAGTCTCGTGCGGAGACGACCCCCGCGACAGCTTAGTGCGACAGCTTGCTTCTCGTGCGTTTGCTGTTCGTACTCCGAACACAAGTCTGCAAGCACTCGTGCTAGTCAGGTTTTCCTGGCTCACTGACAGCAGGGCCTGACGGGTACTGTAATGCACAGGCTGCGCCAGTAGTTTACAACGCAACCGGCAGGATCGAGACCAGCGTTCGGTCCGGGTCTCACGTCTCACGCCCCAGCATGTAGGACTATCAAAACGTGCTGTAGAGCACCCGATTATAAATTGTGTATGCTTGAACATTGATCTAGAACAGTGTGTCAGTCGCATGATATTTACCACCCGCAGGTTGGGCTGCAGGATCGCAGGATGGCCTGGGCCTCGCTGGTCACAGCAGCCATCTCTCGGAGCGAGCTTCGGCTAGTTCTCTCTACAGGACACGCTATGATTGAACGTTTCGGATGCACTGCCACCCCCAAACACCGAGCCACATATGCTTCAACCTAGGAGCAGCGACAATCCTGAAGCCCAATTGTCAATATGTGCAGGTCTTGCAACATCCCTCATGCAGCAGCGGCATTCAAAGCTGAACCTTTTTTCGCCTCGCATGCCTACCCCATCTCAGGCGAAGACCTGTCCCCACCGTCGAAGCTCTTGCTTCCCGAATCGTGTGATTCTGTGCTCCCATGCATGTGCACGGGTTTGGCTGCCTACTTTGCAGGCTGTGTGCCAGGATGCAGTGCACAGTATGCACAGGCGAGCTGCCCACAGATCCACTGTAAAGTACACACCGCCGCAAAACTTTCTCGTGTAGCGGCTAGCGGCATCACGACACAAGCAACATGGATCACTCAAACCTGGCCGCACATGTGTGCATCCCCATTGCACGGCCAGTGATGTCAGGCTCACGACCATTTCCCATTGAAGTAGACATCCGGGCAACACTGTGAAGCAAAGTCCGAGGCCCCGCACATCTCGATTGGCTGCTTCCCGAGCTGCCATCCACCCTGGCAGGGATCGGCAATCAACATAGCGCGGGGTTACCACAAATCTTGTGACTGAACGGTCCGTGTGCGGTCGTGCCTGCCCCCCTCGTTTCCCAGGAGCGCTTCGTGTTTCTGCCAGAGATTGGTGCTCATTTCATCCGACATCACGACAGACACACAGCAAAACGACCAGGACCTGAAATCCGTAGTATGCAGGATCAACAAGCCACCGGCAATCTTGTACTGTACGGTGTCAGCAGTTGCTGTTGCACTTCATATCATTACGAGACTGGCATGGCATGGTAGTCGCCAAAGGCCTTTAATTTCAGCACAAGATTCTTGGGATGGAAGGGTCTTGATGGCGTGGGCATCCTGCCATCTTGTGCGCCAGACGTTCTCTGTAGTAGCACATGCTGACCAAAGCTGTCGTGCAAGATCTGGTTGAGCCCTCACAATTCTGCTCTCTTCTTTCTGCACAGGTCAAAAAACAGCTCAACTCTTGACCGTTTGGCAACAGTCCCTTCTGCAAATCTAAAGTTCTGCCCACGATGCCTCCGCCGACACGGTGGCGCTTTGTGGTTCCTTGTGGGGGGCAGAACGCGTGTCACCGGCTGAGAACCATGCCAACATGTGCCCAGGCAGCAGGCGGCTATCCGGAGCAGGGCTCGCGACGGGCTCCTCAATTACAACCTGGGCTGTTAGACTTATGATGACGGGACCCTGGCCCTAGCTACTTTGCATACGGTCAAATAAAGATGAATACGTTTTGTGCACTGTCAGATACATGTCAGAAGCACAAGTACACAGCATACACAGCCAAGTACATCTCACAGGTACAAGTCGAAGTACATGTCCAGGAGACAGCTACAGCCCAAGTACGATCCCTCCCAATCTACAAGAAACGAAAGGCAAAAGCGTGCCGAACCCTCAATCAATCCGTGTCCCTTCCAGTTCAGCACGGAATCCGGAACCCTGGATTCCCCTCTTTGCGGAGGCGGGAGCCCCGAACTGAGAAACACAGTGTGGCTAAACTTATCTAAACTTCTTGTCTCTGGCCTTCTAATAACTAGGCATCAACACACGACAGGGTCAAAGGACTTTCTTTGAGCATCTGAGCGGGAACTCCCGACGACAAAAGAATCCAAATGCACGTTGCGGTTCAGGGTTCAAGCATGTTCAAGCACTTTAAACTTCACTGTTGCAACTGGGAGGACGAGGCGGCATGGAACCCTGCAGAATAAGACTGCAAGGGGTTGGTGTGCTCAGGTTTCTCGTTTCGAACTCTTGTGTTCCCGAAAGAAATCGGAAGGAGAACCTTGGAATTTCGCCTCTCAGACACTCTAGGCCCTAGGCGAGTTGAGGTGATGAAAGGAAGAGACTGGAGGGCCATCACAACAAGCACACACTGGCTCGCGTGGAACGAGGGGAAAGTAGCACGCACTCAGCTATATAGATTCTAGACTTTTTTTCAGCTGCAGGGGGTCACGGCAAGTTTACATGGCAATCTGGGGCCGCAGGCAGAGAACATGAGCTCGCCAGGCAACATTAGAGCCTTCTTCTTCCTCTTCTTCTTCCGATTCGAGCTGCCACTGCACCTCATGCCTGACGCATTGTGATGACACATGCATCAAACATGCAAGAGGCTGCTTTTTCTGCTATTGCTTCGGCAAGCCGATAGGATTTGTCACTCCAGCCTTCGCTTCGTGGCCGCTAGGAACTGCTCACGTCGATCCAAAGGCATCTCAGCCACGAGAACGACTCACGCTTGCCGGTAGCACTTACCAAGTGTCAGCAACATCTGCCTCGCAGTCTTTGTCAGGGACGTCTGGTATCCCTGTGCCTTCCTCTGGCGCAAAGGATCCCAGGATGCCCTGATCTAGCAAGAGACACAACAGTAAGGAACAGCGTGCACAACCCACAGGCTCGCAGTCAGCCTCAGAAGGCCGTGAGAAATAGCTCCTCTCTTCCGGCCTCTCAAGCAGGGTTTCAGAAAAGCCAATGTGCCACGTCGAAGATGTGCCTTCCCGCATGCGCATCATCTTCGATCGGCCTCAGCCTGGACTCCTGCGACACACTCGGCAGAGTGCAGCCGCATCTTCGTCCACCCAATCACGTCACGAGCCATTCTTCGGATCAACGTTTACACTTGACACCTTTCGCTGAGAGCACTCGGTCACCTCTTGGAGGTTGAGACTTTGTACTCAAAAGACTTGCGATTGTCTTGTCCGAATTTTCACAGGTCCAGGAATTAGCAACAATAGCACACTGGCCTGTTCGAGATTTTGGAACATGTCCCGGGCTCAGACGGCAAAAGGAAGCTAGCCATGCAACTGGGACCTACGAGTCGTACCTACGACCTGCGAAAATGCGTGCACGTCGACTCTCTGAGAAGCCCCATTTAGCACGAAACATCACATGTGATGATCTACTGGCAAATGCTTGTGATTGACCAGTCCTGCGATTTTGGGGCTTCAGCACGGCTGGTCAGTAAGCTGATTTCTTGCCACAGCATGCTCCTCCGGAGCTTTAGAGGAAGCTCGTGAAAACCGTCCCGTGGTCTTAAACGCTGTGCTGCGCACATTCCATGATTGTAGACTAGTGGATTCAGTGGAAACTTTGGCCAAGACCTTGGTTGCTCAGCCCCACAGAAGGCAGCACCAAAAGGCCGGAAAGGCAGCAAACTGGACAAGTTCCGTGCGTGGTGCACCAACTTCGACAAGGATTCGATCTCCTCGGCTGAATCTCGCATGCATGTGACAATACGCCCCAGTATTTTCGCATACTTATCGCGAGAGGTTGGTGCAGTTTACCTTCATCTCATCGCAGGGTCTTCTCTCGGAACCTTATGCTTCACCACTTGGTTGGGCCTTGTTCAGACGACTCAGCAGATTTAAAGGCAACTACGGCCAGCATCCACGAGACAGTGTGTTTGTCTGACCGCTGCATCTCTCACCTATTTCATCAACAGCTGCCCTAGAAAATGGGTTCGACAACACATGATCCGAAAGCATCGGCTTTGGAGGTGGCATGTGTGGACAAGTAATAAGAAATTCGGGTTGGAGCCAGACGGACCAAGAACATGATGTATAGCTGACCCCGCTAATCTGCAATTACGAACAGGCAATTCGTCAAGTGGATGCCTGCCTCTCGCAGACGCAGAACAGGTGGCCCTGGCACCCTTCTGTCTGTGGGAACGGACATGAAGGGAGCACGCAGTCTCTTGCCCCCAGAAACATCTGTTGTCACTCGTTGCTTTCAGGGGTGCGTGTATGGAGTGGGAGGGCAAGACTTGCTTTGCCGCTCTGGACTCGCTCTGGGCACCCGACAGAATGCGACTCATGCGTCCGCTCTGTTTTGAACGCGAGGTTTTGTTGCAGAAGTAATCCTTCCGAGCTGTTTCGATGTTGCCGAGGGCCGTAAGACTGTACGTCAGACGGGCAAAATTTTGTTTTCCCGGAGGCATGAGGCGTTCTACGTATGGTTGGGCCGGAAAAGCTGCAGAACCTGTGGGCATCCTCTTAAGGCACTTGAGAAGGCTGGACGAAAGCTCGTCGGCGAGGCCTGGGCCGCAGGGAATTGCCAGCGACCACCAACACCAACAGCACCCAATCGCCACCCATTTTCACCGTTGCTGGCCTGTTCGTGCCATGTCATAAAGGCCTCTCCCCTCGAAAAACCTGTTGGGCCCCACCTGAAATGCTGCAAAAAATCATGGGAGCCCACTGTGAGGAGGTCACTAGGAGCCTAAACTGACGGCAAACCTACTTATGCTTTAAACACATGCAAAATTGCAGTCAAAGCCAGTGGAACCCCACAAGGAGCCCACCCGAATGCTGTAAAAGCGAGTCACAAGGAGCCCACCTGAAATGCCGCCCACTCCTTTTATAATTATACAATGGGGGAGGGCGGTGTGGGAAGGCACGTAAAAGAAAGGGTTGCTGGTAGTCCGTCGATATTGTACAACCAGCTTTGCCCAAAGAGCGGTCACAGACCCCCACCCCATCCCACCCCCAGCGGGCCGCCCCGATGTTCAGGAAGTATATAAGTCCTGTCTCTCTGTGTTTCTCTGCTTGTCAGGGCTTGGGCCATGGGCAGTCCGGATGATCTGCGGGTGCGCCGCCCAATCCACCATTTTGAAGGATTGAGGTGACTGTGCAGGACTCATGCGTCCAGAAGTCGCAGTCGGATCTCTCACTACCAGCAACAACAGTATCCTGACACGTTAGGCCGTTAGGCTCCCCGACTTTGCTCCTCATGGCACTGTAGTACCCGACATGCCTGTCAATCTCTGCCTGATCCCCAACGGGACCTCTTGCAGAAGCGAGTGCCCCAGCATCGACAACACAAGGTGAAATATTGCAAGGTACTAACTCGCGGTAGGCTTGCTACGGATTAGCCCGTGACCGCGGGCTGAACCAAAACAGCTCTGACAGCGTATGCTCAAGGTAATGTGTAGCCAGCAGGTCTTCGTGGGAAGGCTATGTCTGGGTCCCACTCTGTCCGCAACACCGTGGCAGCTACAAGTCAGCCTTCAAAAATGCCTAGGAGACCCTCGAAGCCTTGGAGTGCCCTTCCGAGCTCTGGTGAAAGTCTCTCCAACTTGCTGCCTCACCCTGCCTTCACCCCTAACGTCGACTTTGCTTTCCTTTGAGGCTGGGCTGCGTCCAAACTCTCTCACTTGCTTGCTTCAGGTTTTGGAGACTTAGAGGTCCCACGCCGTAGCGAGATCCCCTACGAGAGCTCTTCAACCGGTTCCTTGTCTTCAACTGCCCCCCTCAGGTCCATTGGCTCTCTCCCTCCCTCTTCTTCAAGACAGCCGAAGGAGAGCAGGTAACCCACCCTCCCCAGCGCGTTGTTCTTCCACAGAGACACGGGACAACGCGCAAACACCGCCCCTGCGCACGCCGCGTCAGCACTCACTGACACTGTTCACAGGACCACAGTCAACGTACGGCTGCGGAGGCACTCAGGAGCAACCAAAGGCAACAGGCACTGACCCCCTTGCTTTAGTGACCTCAGTGACCGCCAACATGCAGCGCTCCCGGGGATATCACGGCATACGGGATGCATGTGTTGCCGTGCCAATCGAAGATGTGCCGCATGCAACCTTCTACGTCAATGGCGCCCATCCTCAGCTTGCTTGTGACTTGCTTGCTTGATCTTGCTTGCGCAAGATCTAGAGCAGGGAAAACCGTATCTCAACGTCCAGCGTCTGGCGCTTTGGTCGGCGTGAAACTTCGCGGTTGGACTCGCCCCGGAACGCTGGGGCCTAGCACCTAGCTGCAAACAACGAAGTGAGCTAGCAACCGGCAGTCAACACCGCCAGGCCCCCGACGCCCCGGCGTCAGCGCACGAGATACACACCGAGTTGGAACGGAATACACGAAGTGCTGCGTGCAGCAAACATGGATCGGTTTTAGAACCGTCTGGGACTTAGGCCCCGGTACGGCACGGGTTTGGATGGCTCAGCGGCCCGTCTGGCTTCGGGCGTAGAGCCGTGCGATGCCGTGCGGGTCATGTGTCCCGCACACCCCACGCCAGAAAGAACAAGCAGAGCGAAGGAAGGAGTGAAAGGGCATTCCCCTGAAGGGATGCAAGGGATGCAACCATCCTACACCGAAAGGATTACAAGCACCCGGTTTCTACTCGGGCGCCGCGCACCGAAAAAGTCAATAGCCGCTCAGCGATCCCCTGCCGTCCCTGCTCTTGCAGAACCAGCCTGCACCTCCGTCGTAGCCAGGCCGCGGGGCGATCCGCCGGGAAAGACAGCTCCATGGAAGAGTGACCCCGCAGACCCGCCATGGTTGAAGATTTTGTTCGCGGTGTCGGGCGATCCCCCTGCCACATCCCCTGCCACGCCACCAGCCACGGAAGTTTGCATTCTTGGTCGGGTTGCCAGTGTCACGATCAGCTCGCTCTGTCTCTCTGTCTCTCTGTCTTCTCTGTCTCTCTGTCTCTCTGTCTCTCTCTCTCTCTCTCTCTCTCTCTCTCTCTCTCATGCCCTTACAAATATGCAGTTAATGTATCACGGCCCATCGCAGTCAGTCATTCTGACATACAGCTGCAGCTTTCCGGCCAGAGTGCAAGTTGCAAAATCTTCATGTCGAGGCTTCTTGCCTTAGCACATCGTAGCCACACTACTGCATGTCGCCATGTCAAGTCGGATTTGGGCAAGTGGGAATCACCCCGACTCTCCGGAGAGCTTCGCAAAACTTCACACGTCACACACACACACAATTGGCCTCACCCTGCAGCTTCCAGCAGCCATCGACGAACTCGCTGTAGCTGACTTCACCTCTATCCGTGCAAACCGCTGTGTCTCCCTCTTGCATTGGATTCCCCCAGTTCAAGGGCCTGAGCCATCGAAGTCGAGGAGGGCAAACAAGTACTCCACTTCCCCTCAGCGCCCCGGTAAGCTCAGCGCGATGTCAGGTGCTGCGCTGCTTGAAGAACTGACTGCAACCCTGGCTCGGGCATCCAATTTCATGGCGTTGAAATAAGCCTGCACTCGTTCATCTTGAAGTGTGCCCTCGAACTCCTCTTTGCTAATGGTCCCGCTGTCGTTGGCATCCATTTCCTCAAGCTCGTGCTTTCATCAGGTCACAAGCCGACTATCCCGTCAATGCCACATTCACCGGCCGAGGAACATCAAATACTCTCTGAAGTTCATGAAGGAACTGTGTTTTGGTCTGCAGCTCTTCTGCGATCACATGCTCCCGATCTCTCTTGCCGGAGTTGCGAGCATTTTCAAGGAAGATACCTGGCACATGCGAACCAACGCGTCCCAAGAGCGCACTGCAACTTGTTTTACACTGCTGGTGCCTGTGACAACATTTGCCAAGGCATAGATGCTAAATGTGATATATAGGAGGAATAACGCCAGGTAGATGCCAGAAAGGGGGCGCATGGCCTCAGATAGCATAGACACTTCACCAGTGCGCAACAGCGAGAGAACGAGTATGGCGCAGCTACTGTTCAGAAGGGCCAACTTTGCGACACCATGAAGTCACGGCACATCATACTGCACCGACCTCGGACAGCATAGACCAGTCTGCAACAGCGACAGAACGAATATTGTGCAGCTACCTGAAGGACCAGCCTTGCTACACAATGAAGTCACGGCACCAGTCGGTACCACCGGTCATGGCCATGTAGAGATTGATGGTTGAGCGGTCCAGTGTGCCAAAATGTTCAATCAGCACACTGTTTGCAGGATCCCGTCGTTGCACTGCTGTGTCCAAAGTCGACCCAACTGCAGACGTGAACATGACGGAGAACATGCCCAGCATCAGGCACAGAACTGCCACAACCCAGATCAGGGATCGAATGCAGCTGATAATGGAGTGCATCAGAAGCCTAAGCTCCTGGAAGGTTCTCATGACCTGAGATGCTGACAGGCAATGGCACCCTGACACTGCCTACTTTCTGCTAGATGTGCTGGTCCTAAAGCATGCAACGAGAATGGTCAGACCAGCCGGCAATGCAGATTCAGCACAGCCTGTGTCTTTTTGCTCGGCCTAGCTGCCAAGTGCCAAACTGAGCTGGAGACGCGTAATCTCGGCTCGAAGCATATCTCTAAAGACTTCAACCCTGGCCGAAGTCGACGGGGCCTGCAGAAGACGCTGGCAGGGCCGCAACACCTCTTCCCAGAGCTCGGCACGTGCAGCGCTATCCGCCTTCTGTGCTGCCGAAGCCCAAGCCGTGGCTCCTTCTTCGTCACTTTGAGTGCTCTCCGGATCCCAAACCCTCGCCTTCCTCGACTTTGCCAGCTCCGTGGCCGAGGTCCAGCGTGCTTCCCCACGGCGTGCTTCGGCACGCCAGGTGCCCAGCGTGCGCCAGCGCCGCGCAGCTTGCCAGATCGACGCCGCGGACCGTGACGTTCTTGCTGGGGGAGGCGCAGCCAACCTCTGCCAGACGTCTCCGTCATCCCAGGTCAAGACATCCACAGTCTCAGCGGCTCCATAAGTTAAAGTAGCTGAAAACGGCTGGGAACCGAGCTGCACCGCAAGTTGGCCGTTGCTTTGAACTTCCAACTTTCCCAGATCTTGGACTTCCATGCCATCTATTCGGATCCGTACCCCGCTTTTGGCACGCCACAAACCCTGAACAGCTTGGACAGGCGGTGGCAAAGGTGGTTCCAGGATCAACGCCGATCTCAAACCGTCTCCCTGCGATCCGCGCTGCTGTTGCAGCCTCTCCAGCTCAGACAGCTCTTCTGACAGCGCTTCAGCACCATTCAAGGCTTCTTCGCTTTCATCCCAAAGCAGGTCAGCCTCTGCCCGCAAAAAGTCATCGACTGGAAGACAGCGGCGAAGCCGAGCCCTTCCGACTGCAAAGTGCAATGCCAGATAACCTTGCCTCGACTCCACCAAGTCCTCCAGATACAATAGCGTCGCATATGCAGCTATCTGGTTCTGCTCCTTGTTGTACAGAACTGCCCCCAGGTAACGGCCACCAGCTAGCTGCCTTCAGGGATTTTGAAGGACTACCCGAGGAAAACGCCATCTGCGGGTCTCTGCGTTAAGCTTAAGCAAACACCAAACCGTCAAGCCCAGGAGCCAGCATAGAATCATAGAGCTTTTTGGTGGACACATCGGCAACTGGCAAAGCTACAGGTGCACCTGGCAAGTAGACGTCTTCCACCAAAAGCAGGGGTATCTCAACCTTGCCTTCTGACTCCAAGCTCGCCTCTTCTGGCAGCCACTGGACATCGTCAAGGGTCGCTCGCTTGACCATTCTCTTCCTTCCATGCTGAAGGACGCCGGCAAGGCCACCACCAGCCAGCACGGTTGCTGTCGTACGTCGACGTGACGCCACCGAAGACTGCCGCGCCTGCGTAACGCGAAGAGCTGGAGGCTGGAAGCCAGACGACTGCAGATACCTAAAAACCTCCATCGCGAAACAATCGGAGTCACGTTTCCAACTCGTAATTCTCCTATTTGTATACTCCTTGCTTTGAGCCTGACTGCCCGCTGCAGCCTGCAACCGCTCTCTCTCTCTCTCTCTCGCTTGAAGACCCGGCAAGTCGTCGACTGGGACCTGACTTTAAGCGCAGCAAAGCTGCGCGAATCATCTTGGCAACACGGATGACCCGGATAACACGTATTACCCGGAGGAGGCTGAATTGAACCCAGACTTCGAGGAAGATGCTCACCTCGCAGACAAGATGCTGAAAGACAGCGCCAATGACAGAGCTGGACAACAGAAGTCGAAACATCGCGACTGAGAATCTCTACTCATGACACCCGGCACTTTTCAGTGCCGATGCATCACATGCTGAACAGCCAAGGATCCAAGTCAAAAGTAACCACCATTAGATCCAACCTTGCACACTGCCGAGCAATTGCATCATGTGCTTGTAGCCACTTCTCAGCCGTGACGGTGGCAAAGACTTTTCCCGAAGTCTTTCCCGATGTTGAAGCAGCTCGACCACTCAGAAATCAGCCAGAAAAAATACCCAACTCCGGCAGAATTGCTTACCAAGGTTCCAATTCCAAAAAGCATTCGGGTTGGAGCAGCTGAAGAGATACCATTTGTCGGCCATGAACCGAAGCCCGAGCTCCTCAGCGAGTCAGCAAAGCAGAAACCAACCCAAATGCTCTATGCCCGCTTGAACCAAGTTGCGGAGGAAAAGCATACCAGGAAGATGCCCTGAAGAACCGTGAATTCGAATGGCTCTGAGACGACCCTTGGCTCAGGCACGGCTACTGAGACATTGCACGCGACATTGCCGACTTGGGTTCAGTTTGCCCAATGCAGCCAAAGCTGCAACTCCAGGCCTGCTTTGGCGCGAAACTCGTCATCCAAGGCTTTGGCTTGCGTTTGCCAAGCCACAAATAAACAGTTTAGGAGGATGAGGAAGCCACTGACTGACTCAAAAGCAGGAGATTCCGTGAGGCGCTGAATCTTGCTCTGCTTCTCGAAAACTTTCCGTCGGTTTTCGTGAGCGATGAAATTGGACTTTCGAAGGCCAGGGTTGCTCCTGTTGCGGCCTGGGTTGCCCTCAGAGTCTCCAGACTGCAGTGTATGCAGTGACTGCAGCTGTGGGGTTGTGACCAGCCCATCCGGAACGCCTCTCGCAATGCCAACGAGTTGTACAGTGACAACGTCTCGCTCATGGCCTCAAAGTTGCACTTACAGCCAGCCTGGCAACGTGTCGGGAGGCTCATCGTCATTGGACCATTCCTGCAAATCGGCCGATGTCCATACAAGGTATGCGGGGAGCAAACAAAAAACGCCCCACATTTCGGCGGTATGTGGTGCAGCCTTGGAATTACTCAGCTTTACATGGTGTGCGAGACCTGTGCTGCAGGACCCGGTCACCGCCGAGAGTCCTCACGGTTCGCAAAAGCCCCCGATCACTCGATAACGTAGCAGGGACAGTATCTCACTCGTCTTGAAAAAGCGTCCTGGATCGCCCAGAGATTGACCCTCTTCAATTTCAGGCAAATCTTCGGCCGGCAACTGCGCACTTCTCCTTCTTGAGCTGCGCGGCACAAGTCCTGGCAGGCAATCAGAACAGATTCTCGAAGCTAAAATGTCAAAGTTATTGCAGCCGCGCCTTTCTGAAGTGGTGAATCTGAGGTCTGGTTGGCTGGCTCTTCAGCCACGTTAGCCAGTCCTTGACAAAAGGACACAGTTAAAGGCTAAATTCAGCTGGGTGCAACTAGCTTGTGCGCTGCTTCTCCTGGAACTTCCACAGGGTCGATTGGCGATGCTGTCTCTGGTTCCGCAGCCTTCGTGTCAGTTTGAACTTCCCTTGCTCCGCCTTCCAAGGCGGAGCCGTTGGGCGCACCCGGCGCTTCCGCTGCTACCTCAGCCTTCGTGCCACTTTCTGCTCTTTCTGGGCTTTCCGGGTCGGAAGGCCCAGGCGAGCGGGGTGGAGGCAATGTGGGTGGCAAGGCCGTCGGGGGCAGCGGAGCATCGCTGATCTCGGCGAATCGTGCAGTCTTAGCAGAGGGGCTCACAACAGCATCGAGCGGAGGAAGCCGGCTTTGACGGCTTGGAGCTCGAGCCAATGGGGGGTTCGGCACCGCATCCGCAAACTTGCTCTCGACCAGTGTCAGTTGACCTAAAGACTAAAGGATGAACACACCTGCCAAAAAGCACTCCGGCACTCCGGCTCAAGCAAAAGATCCACTCAGCCAGGTGCTCGCCACAGCTGGCGCCTGCAGCACGGACGTTTACGGAGGCAATCTCCGCGCTTGTTTCTCCAAGTGCGGTGTGCTGGGACACGAGCATCAGCGAGAAGCGTGCCTGCTGCACGAAGTCTGCAAAGCACCTCTGGATGCTTTCCTGGTGCTGCTGGCAAACTTCCGTGAGCTTCATCTCCAGCCTCGACACAAATCGGGTCATAGGACGCTTCATGGCTAGGGGGCTAGGCTCGGCCGGGTGGCTCTTTCCAGCGGTCTGGGCCCGGGCCCGCGCCGCTCGCGCCCATGACAGACATCAAAATGGCGTTTAAAGAGATAAGCCCTAAGCCTCTTATAAGCGTGTGCAAGGCATGTGCAAGGTACCCTGCAAAAGCGCACCACAAGAAAGTAGGGTCCTCATGACACGCGTAGCACACTCGGCAAAACAACTCGAGCCCGGGTTTCGCCACGCAGAGTTTGGTCACTTGCCAACTCTTGTCTACCTCTCAGGATCCCTCGGCTCTTGTGTGGGGGTGTCTCCTCAATCATTTGTACGGCTATACAACAAGTTGCCATGGCCACAACTTCAGCCTCAGACCGAAGACATGCTACGTGAGCGAGACCCTGTGTCGGCCCGCAAAAGCCCATTGCCGTGAAGCTTGGAGATTGAGACCAGGGACGGAGACGTGCTGCTTCCACGAAACCTAAATATAAACCACAGACGTCACGTAGTTTCTCTGCATCAGCACCAGCAAAGGCATGAAAGCCCAGAGGTGTCCTTGACGTGGCTCAGCATCTGGTACCTTGATGCTTCACGGGTGTCTGGTATGCACGGTCGGAAAGAAATCGCATGTGGCGCACAGCTCCTGCAGGAAAGAGTTTCCCAGGTTGCTCAGATCCTGTCAACTTGCTGGAACAAATGCGATTGAGGCACACACACACATGCTCATGTCTCAGGCGGAGACCACAGCTGCAGGGGCGTCGACTCCAAAGTGGTCTGCAAGTCCCATGAGCAACTCCTGGTTTGGTTTGCGCATGCTTGCGAGTTACGCGAAGGACGCAGAGCGGTCCTGCAACAGGTCGGCCTTGTCTTCCACAGTTTGCCCGAAGCCTCGTAGGTCTGTGGCGGCACAACAAAGCAAACGTGACTCTGACTCTAAGCCCCATGGCTGTCTATCTCCTCGTCGCGCCTAACGAACAGAGGACAACTCTGGCTCAGCTTGGCGGAACACGTCTTGCATCCGGTGCACGGCATTGGAACGTACTTCCGCAGAGCCGAGTGCAGCAATAAAACCTTCACACCCAAAGACAAGCATGGAGGTGATGATAGCAATGATGTTTCAACGTCCCGCGAGACAGCACCTCCTTGCCCTCGCATCGCGTCATCAAGTCGGGCACCTACAGGACCACTAGAACTTGCTTTGGCAGTATCGCTCACGTGCTGCCTTATCCAGCTTGCTGTTGTCACATCGGCGGTAGATCTTCTGCAGCCTTGCAGAGTCTAGGAATCTTCGCAACTCGGCTCGGGCAGCCTGAGAGCCCTGCAGCCACTTCACAGCTTCTCTTGCCAAAACCACGTCCTGCTCAACGGCCCAGTACAAATCCTCCTAAGCCCTGACTGCAATCCGAGTGCAAGTTCAAGCACTTCAAGATGCTGCTTCTTTGCAGAGCTATCCGAAAGGACCTCTCGTCAAGTAGCTGTGTCAGTGATATTCCTTGCACAAGCTGTTCTTCGGCGCAGCATCAGTGTCGCTTCTTCCACGAATCATTCCGGAAATCTTTCACCGTTTCCCTGGGTATCGTGGACTCGTGCTTAGCGCAGGCCCTGGTGTTGAAGGTGTGCGTTTGTGTATTCAGCAGATGCCTACAATGCCCCGCACCTCGCCTGCAAGACAATGCCGAGAAGCCAGGAAGCCGGTGAGAAGCCGGGATACACCCACCCGGCCCAAAACAAAGGCACAAAAAGCTCGTACTGCCAAGAAAAGACTTTCACACCATTATGGTGGCATAGGAAGGGGCCTCCAGGTGAGATACAGTTGCAGTCAAAGTTTTGAAGCCCGAGTGCGGAGCCTCGGCATCTTCGTGTCGAGAGTCCTCCGCAGACCGCCGGGAAGCTGTGGCGGACCTGAAGCGAACACCCTGTCCTAGATTGCCACATGCACGCACGTATGCTTTGTGCAGCTGTAATGATCTGTTGAGGCCTTGCGCTCTCCATAGGCTTCCGTTTGCGAATAGCAAGATCCAAACGCACTGTTTATCTCGCCACATATCGCTCAGCACAAGCTCTGCATACAGGCCAGGCATCGTTGAGAATCTACGTCTTCAGCTAAACCTCGGCAGTGTATGAGTGTATGAAGAAGGCACTGGCTTTGGGAGCGATACTTGCTATCGATATCCAAAAGACATCGAAAGGACAACGCACCGTGTGCGGGGAAAGCAGCTGTGAAGCAGTTTTCGAGCCTGTACTCGTGAAAATGGGCCTGACCTGCCGGGCAGGTATTGACCACTCCAGCCGCCACAAGATTTGGTCGAACTTCAAGGCCTGAACAAATCTTGACTCCCTGTCCAAGATTGTTCTCCGGATACTTTATCTTGAGCATGCTCCTTAGCGCTCTCTACGCTGAAAGTGCACTGTCTGCACATCATGTACTGGCTTGGTGCTGCGCCGGCTATGTGAGATGCTGAAGTCTGAAGTGCAGATCCCAGCGGCTGCTCAGGGCAGCCTACGTAAGAGGCCAATGTTGGATCTCCGCATATGCTGTATTCAACCTCACAAGGACGCTCGACTCTCCACTGCACCATCTGAAGCTGCCTCGCCGTAATCGCTACTCAGCCCTGGCCGCCCTGGGCCTTTTCGCCGGCTGCAAAGGCCACGATCACAAGGTCCAGGAGGGAAAACCTCACTTGGTCGCCGCCTGTGAGAGGGTACTTCGTCCCAAACCTTGCAGCTTGTCATGGCTTGCAAACTGCCATGTCACATGCCAGAATGAAGAATTTTGTCCCGAATTTTCGGCTCAGCTGGATCATGCTTAGCAAAGCGGCTGGCCAGCAAGCCAGAACAAGCTCGTGTCACCTCAGCTGTCGCAGTAGCTCAAGCCTGCCGAGCAGCTGTTGCGACGGCTGGCAAACGGTATCGACTGGAATACGCGATACATCGCGACTTCAGCGCCGACAAACTTTGTAGACACAACTGGCCCACCCGCAGGCCTGCACGCGGAAATCGAACGGCACCCGCAACATCCACGGTAGTGGCCACGAGTGTGCCACACTCATCACCAGGATTGGCAAAGGTAGCATTGTAAAAGGTGACAGACTGGAAATCTGTGAAACCACTCCTTGCTTGCACAAGCCCAGTCATGCACAAGCCCAGTCATACACTGCGCAGTCTACCAGTCTATCACTCCCAAAGATTCGAAACCTGGTGCCAAGCATCTCTTCATCCGAACAGCTGGTCATTGGCCAGTCAAAACGAAATCGCCCAAGTGCCTCAGGACAGCATTCACATTACCGTTTCCTTTGCGAACGTCTGCACAAGGCCGAGAGACTATGCTCAGCTCGTGAGGGTCACCCACCCAGCCAGTCTTCCCGCGCAGGAACTCCGTGACCCCTTGGTAGACATGGCGGCGAAACATCAGATCATCCGACGCTCAGCTGAGCCAAGCTGCCCTGGCTGTTGAGGGCCACCTGGAACATGAAACCCTTGGGTGGAACGCCCGTCTGGTCCTCAGGGTGGCTCTACGAAGAAATCTGACAAAGCCAGACAAGCGATGTGCAGTCCTTGTAGCTTGTACGAGAACTTGTCGGTGACGGGACGACACCGAACCTCGAAGCCACTCAGTGTCTATCTCTAGTTGGATTCCGGGACGGGCGGACACAACGCCATGTTTTGCTGCGGCCCCCTCCCCGCAACCCCGCCCGCTGTGCGCTACAAAGACCCATTCCAACACACGCAAAACATCGCCCTGCGCCTTAAAGGCCACTGCCATGATGCTCGCCGGATGCTCCCCTGAGTTCGTTTACAGGTGCTGCCCCGCGAGACTGCTGGGAATAGCCGCAAAACAATTTTACTGCCATCGAGGACCCCAAAGGCACGCATCATGAGCATCAGAGGGGACCCCGTGCTAGTCCAGGCCCGCTGATGCGCGCCCTGCAGTGCGCACCATGAGCCTACCGTCGCTGGCGGGCAGCAGCTTCATCGGACTTGAGTTAGCTGCACCACGGCGTCCAAAAACATGCCCGGAACGTGGCACAGCACATGTGCGCGTTTCACGACCATCTCCCAGCTAATTTCGAGTTTCGCATCCCCCGGAACACGGCGGAGGAGGCCCTCCTTTCAAGGCTTCGCCAAGCTCTCGCGACCCTCACAGAAAGGGCCCGCTTCGCTGCCCGATTGCTACAAAGCAAGGCTTGCGAGATACACTCCATCTGAGGCAGAGGCACATGGCCCGGAGACCGCACATACCGCACTCTGCCCGATTTAGACGCTCTGGTACTGAGCCCCTGGCACGAACTGTGCCGCCGACCCGCTCAGATGCGCAATCGCTTCAGGCACTGTGGAAGTAGATGGCATGCGGCCCACATCAGTCTGTGGAAGGAATGGTGCACTCTCTGGTAAACCATCCAATGGCACTGGTGGCAAGGACGTTGCATCGAAGGGCACCTTCAACAAGTCGCACGGCGCATCGCTCCCCAATTGAATGCTGTGCTGCTAGCTATGCGCTGCAGTGGCACGACTTGCGCGGGCGGCACATCCAACGCTTCCAGGTGCTCTTTAACAGCCACCTGAGTGCCCCAAGAGCTTGCTGTTCAAGGGTGGAAGTGTCGAGCATGTGAAGGAAAGCTGATGCTGAGCCTGGTCTTCCGCAGACATCGGAGCCACGACCGACAGAATCGACTCCACCTGCTCCTGACTGAGCTGAGCCTCAGAGACTTTAAACCGAAAGACGTTCGACATGCACACGAGGTGTCGAATAGCTGCTAAGACCCCTTACGCTTAGATGTCTTCGAACCTTTGCAAAAAACGCGAACTTCTGGAGGAGTCGCTTACGGTTCTCTTACTGGGACACTGCCAGAAGTTCTAGCACAGTGCCACCATTCCGCGGGATGGTGGCAAAACCGCGAATCAAGCAGCTCATATCGCATAATCGGACTGAACGAGCTGAGAGGCTTTGATGCCAGCAGCAACCTCAAAACACACGGTGTTCAGGCAGTTGATAGGGGTGATAACTCTCCAGCGACATTCTTGGCAGGCTGCGGGTCGTGGTGCTGCAGTCGTGGTGCTGCTGCAATTGCTACAGCTTTGGTCAGCAAAATTAGCCATCAAACACTTCCAAATGATTCACCATGTTCAAAGCATGCAAATGCTTGGATGTACCGGTGTCTGCAATCGGAAATACAGGTCGTCAGCAATGAGGATTTGTACGTGGGGACGTTGCTCCGAGCATGGCACGCAGCTCATGGCAGGACACAATTTCTTTGAAGATGCCAGCTTCTCCTTCTGCGCTTTCCACACGCTGGGATGCCGCAGCGGCTGCTGCAACCTCGTGTGTGTCTCAGAAAGCAGGAAGAGAAGGAAGATGTAGACTTCAACAAAAACAATCAGCTGCACAGGTGCGCAACTCTCAAGCCTTGCTGCACTGCAGATCCAGGAACTGCAATTGCAGCAGAATCCGCTTGCTCGCCATCAGTCATTCCAGCTGCGGCTTCGGCTTTTACCACCTCGTATCCAAGAGAAAACATAATGCAGAATGCGTGTTCCCCTTTTCGACTTGTGGTGCGCTGCGCGCTGCCTCGCTTGGAAAAACAATGTGCTAACAAGCCACTGCTGCAACCTTCTCCGCTGGCTTAGGCATATTCTTTCCCATCACCTTTACGACTCCATCCTTAGCTGCCAGACCAGCGTCTATGCCCCACCCCTTGCTTGCCAAAAATGGCCGAAGGTCACCGGCAGCGTCCAGAGCAGTTGCCACAGACACTTGCTGATCTGCAGAAAGTTTTGGCGCTTCTTTAGCGATCCTGGGTTGCCATCCCAGGCTTTACAGCACAGGCCGGCAGGAACAAGGCGCTCGCAGATCTCAATTTCAGCCAGGTCTCTTCAAGACCTGGCTGTCAGTCAAGCCAGCTTCCTGCGCGGCTCGGACCACCATTCCAACGCCATCCTCCATAGACCATAGATTATGGACACTGTCATGTTGGGTCGCTTTGGCTGAACGAAGTTTTCACAAAGGCTACAGCTTCGGCCAAGCATCGAATGGTGTCGTGCTGGCTTTCGTCAGTGCATCTGCAGCGGCATTGACGATCCGGGCCTCGCAAAGTGAGAAGCTTACAGACTCTGCCTCAACACAGCAGGACAAAAATTCGCAGCGCAGCTTGAACTTTTAAACTGAGGCCAGGCTCCTTTTGTGCTTTGCTCACGGGCACATCCGCCAGCTTCTGCGACACTGCATCCATGACCAGCCTCACGTTGGGGTCGTTGAGGTCGACCTGGGGCAACTTGGCAGCTCTAGCACCCGAGGACGACCCCTTATTTTGCACACCCATGAACGCCAACGGGTCGGCTACGTTGCATTTTCCACTGACATATCAGCATGTGTTTGCTATGAGAGTTGCTGGACATCACGCACGTAAGAGTATCTAGAAAGTATCTGCAGAAGGAGAGGCAGAAGAAGTACCTCAAAAGTAGGCAAACCCATTGACCTGTTGCACGTTCGGCACAAAGCACAGAAATAGCACATTCTGCAAACGCACACATGAACCGATGGTTAGAAATTTCGTAAGCGTAGAACCTCACTGTCGGGCCACCATGATTGGCTCTGGTCCTTCAACGGCAATGGGCTGCAACCCAGGCCCGAAAGCTTCTCCCGACAGCTTTGCATGCTCCTGGACAACAGTGTCCCCAAAGGCACGCGGACTAAAAACCCACCCGAGGGCCGAAAGCCCCGGCAGCATGCGGCTAGGCACCGCCCTCCCCGCAACTGTCTTGTTCCAGCTAGTTGCAATTCATTCCCCTGGTAGGCACCTATACAGATGCTCGAAGAGTCTTGTTGCACCGCAAGTTTCAACGGGCATGATGACATGTATCATGCCTGGCAAGAGGTGAGCCTGCATGTCTTGGACATAATCTTCGCACGCAGATCACTTGTAAGTGCGCTTTGTTCATAGGTTTTCCCACGTACGTTCGACCATGGGTTTGTCTTGGCGTCCCGCCATATCCAGTTTGTAAACGTAGCATGTTTCAGCGGGGTTGCTCTTTGCTGATGCTGCCACGGCATGGCAGATAGGCTGATGTATGAAGCTGGACTGTTGGCCCGCTTGTCCCTGCCTGACACGTCCAGCTACCCGTACTGCCAGGGCCGCCTGTGCAGAGAAGAGACGACTTGGATAAATGATGTGATGCTCTAGCTGTCAGAGCTCTCATGTATTGGTCGGAACTGCCCTGACAGTGGCGATGTCTTGGTGACATCAGGTGCACGGTCTCGTGACGTGCTTTATGCAATCCTCCCGATGTACTGATATGTACTGATTCATCGGGGTCCAATCCCTGCATGCAGCCACAACCGCACCTTCACGGGTCGTTTACAAGCATGCTGGTCCCGTTGTTGCCAGGATCTGTGATCATGACTTCTTGGGGCGTCTTGTGCGTAATTGCAGCGATGTGGTGCCTTAATGTGCCTCATTTATGCCGATTCTGCACCGATGGCCTTGACTGTCTGTCACATGCACTCGTAGAATGTGGCGCTTATTCCCGACAGTGCCGGCACTGGCGATGTAAACTCCAAGACTCGACAACATGCCTAGCCTGGAGGCTCCTGACACACAGACTCTGCCACTAATACAGCACGAGACATCTTCTGCAACATTGTGGTCGTTGCGATTGTAAGCCGTGATGCAACTTGATTCGACAGAGTCGCACCTAAAAGCTACACTCCTACGATCGTGGGCGTGGTCCAATTACCAACAATTTCTCAGCTCTAGCCTGGCTTTTGCGAAGCCAGTGGGATCTTGAAAAGATCCTTCTACGAGGTTAATTACTTCCGCATGCTTTCCCACAATGGACTTCTGCAGTCTGCATGGTTTCTGCCCGACGTCAAACATACATGAAACGCAGCTGCAAAAACAGAAACCACATGTGCTAACGGCAGGCAAGGCCTCTTCTCTGAAGGAAGAGCTGTGCATGGCAAGAAATCCTTGCAAGCCAAGCTGCAGTTTCCGGCTGCTCTGTTGTCGTGGGCAACATCCCTGCAGCCGACAGCACGTCTGCCACTGCTTGCCTCAAGCATGCTGAGGCTTCCTGCTTATGGTTGCTTCATGCGTCTGTGGATGTCCGTGCCACAAGCGCTGCTTGGCGGCTGGTTTTCCACGGTCTCCTCGGAAGCCGCATCCACAACGGCGGCCTTGTCTTCAGGCGAGATGTCTGCACCTTCACCATGGGCAATGGGCCGTGGAAAATGCTGCGCAGCAGTCTCGTGCAGGCAAGTGGGTGCCTGCCAGCGCCTTCCCCACCACACTTGCTGGTGAAGCCGTCGTTGCGCCCTGAAGCCCTTGAAGGGCTGCTGGTACTGCGCTTTCCTTGGCTTCTCGCCCTTGACAGAGTGTCCGCTCAGGCTCAGCGAGACTAATTAGCTCTTCGCAAACGCCACGTCCAAGCAAAAGGCCCGTCAGCGCTGACCGTTCAAAGGCGCTTTTGGGGTTTGCGGGGGAGACCTACTAGCAAGCTGTAACCAAGAGGCTTTAAGCGAAATCAGTATTGCGGACAATTAGCGGACCCAGTTCCAAACCCCCCTTTGCACACGGATCGCCAATCGCGAGCTGAAGCTACGTTTTGTCTCTGTCTTTCGCTCTCTTCCATCGGGCACCAAGACCCCCCCAACTCTCTCTCTCTCTCTCTCGCTGTCTCTCTCTCTCTCTCTCCCTCTCTGTCTCTCGCTCTTTCTTTCGCCAGGGCTATGGTGTAGAGGGGAAGCCCCCCACTCTCTGGCTCTCTGTCCCTCTCTTCGCTCTCTCACGCACTCTCGAAGTTACAGCGCTAAGTCGCACACATCCTCTGTGGATTTAGCGAAACAGTTGCGGTAAAAGTAGAGGCCAGGGTCCCGGGGTGCAGGCTTGCCCCTCTCAAATGGAAGGTTGATTCTTCAGGTTTCGGGCTTTGTGGGTATGCATGTAACGACCGAAGTAGAGAAGTACCAGACTGGCTCACATTGACGTCATAACAAGCCGCTGTGTGACAGGTTTTCAGTCTGTGCTCGCTCGAGTTGCACCCCAGCTAGTGCGCAACGGCACCTCTTCCTGCAATGGCCAAAACAGGCCGACCGACGTCCCCATTGTGGCAAGCAAAGAGTCCCAGGAAAAGCAGAGACAAGGTCATGACTGTGTCAAACAAGTTCACAGTCACAAGTGCATCTATGTCGGCTGTCTCGTGTGCTCACAGACCCTGCAGCACCAACTCTAGTCAGCTTTATCGTGTGGCACTGACTTCTCCCGCCGTAACTCGGACAGACACAGCTCGATAGATTGATTGGGTCCACCTGCTAAGTTCTAGGCATTCCGTTGGCATCGGCCGCTCACGACAAGGGGGCACAATCTGTACTCACCGCCGAGCCACTGCAGCGGCAGCCGCCTGCTGTTGAACAGTAAAGCCTGCATCTCCAGTCGCTGCCACAACGGCTGCCACTTTGGCTTCAGGTGACGACGCAACGGATTTTGAAGCTGCTTTGGCAGAAGCAGTCGCTGCTGCTGTCCAAGCATTGAGAATAGTGTCCCAGTGGTCGGGATGGACCGATCTGAAAGCAGAGGAAACACTGGCAACCTGAGGAAGGGCTGCAGACTCGAGATACTACTTTCACATAGCCGTGCTTAGGCTTAGCCGTGAACCTCGCCACCCCGACCCCGTAAATATCCGTAAATGCCGTGACCGTGCCTGAGCATCGGTCAAGCCCATGGCGGCAGCGGCCTCTGCCACTTTGCTCAAGGAATCTGGCTGCGAGCTGGCTGGTGCCAATGCATCACTTGCGGCAGAAACAGCCGCAGCAGTTGCTGCAGTCGCAGCATTGTCCAAGCCGTTCGCTTTCGAGGCTCTCAGGACCGCCTGGCCCACCTTGCTTTGCGTATCCGGCATGTCCGCTCCTGCACCGTCCAAAGTCGTACCCATAGGAGCTGGTACAGGCAGAGACGGATTCGCCGGCTGTGGTACTTCGAAGGGCTTCGAGTTGCTGGTGACGGGGGCTGCGGCCGCAGGCGACGCAGGCGACGCAGGCGACGCAGGCGCTGCCACCGCTGCTTCCGGAAGAGTGCGGTTGCCGAGCAGGGCCATGGCCGACAACCTTCGAACAGCTTTCTCTGGGTTTCCCATAGGTTTCCCTAATTTTCCCTTCAAAAACCCTAAACCCAAGGCCTGGAGACGATGAAGGGTCCAACCAAGATCGATCGCTCCTCTGGCGTTGCATAGTCCACCTCCCACGCCAGGACTTAGATGAATCTTCGCAGCAAATGCCTAAGGGCGGGCCTTCGTGTTCAACATATACCAATCGGTCCCATCCATTGAGCCTTCAAGCTGGAAATCTACTGGATCAGTTCCACGTGTCTCCTCACATCGCACATCAAACCACAAGCTTCCGTTCTCTCCAGAAAACCACATCAGCAGTCCTTTTCACCGCACGTCTTGAAGCCGAAGCCACCCACCAAGACTCCCGGCCGAACTTTGACTATAACATACTGCCCCGACGAGAGCAGCAAACCTCGTAAAAAAAAACACGGTGGCGCTCGCATTCATCTGACGAAAGCTTCCTGGAACTGGGCCAGGCACTGGTTGAGGTGTCGTCGTCCATGCATTTCAACGGGTCATCCATGCTAGCCTTGTCGTCAGACGTGTCCTCAATGCAGTTGTTGAACCTGCTTGCTGTCTCTGCTGTACACCTGTGCGGCCGGGTCGCACTCCCAATGGCAACTTCAGCCACAATTCTAGGATCCTTCAAAGGCATCGCCTGCATTGCAGGGGATAGATATGCGCCACCTGTGCTCTGACTGAATTCTTGCTTCCACCTGCGCCGTGGCGTCTGCTAGCAGCAACTCCGAGATACGGGAGCTGGTGACACCTGAAAGACATGTACCAGGTCATGCGTGCAGGTCGTGCTGATGGCAGCTGCCTTCTCGCGTCCTCAGAACCGAGAACCTGTACCTCGGCTTGGTTGAGCCGGATGGGGACTGACGCAGCTTGGGCAGCAGAAATGATGCGTCTGCCGTCGCCACCCAGCGGCTGCTGAAAGGACAGAGGCACCTGCCGTGACGAAGCTGGCAGAAGCGATTCCTTCCAGTTTTCTCGTGTCTCGTGCAGCCCAGATGCAGCAGCAGACTTCAGGGTCTCCTGCAATGAGTTGAACATGCGATGGGACTCTGTATGATTCCATGAACAGATACCCGGCGGCCGAAATATGCAACGGCACCCACGGGTTCACTTTACTGCAGCAAGTATACACATCTCAACAGGGACCATGATGCCAAGATGGCTCAGGATTGTCATGGTCGAAGTGCACGACGCAGAATCGGCTGGGCCGGTTTTGAAGTAATGAACCTCCGAAATCCTTTCTCCGGAAACCAAACAACCCGAAGCAAAAGCGGTGCTCTGGAAGCCAAGGCTCTCTTCGAGCCTCTTTTCGTATCAACTCTCGACGAGCAGAAGGGCTCTGCTCGGACACCTTGCTTGGATCTGCGCTGCTCCATGTCAAGTAATCCTACCTCTGCGAGTCTCGGCTCAAGATCTTGATTGAAGGCGAAGGCAACATTGCTAAGACAGCTATGCGAGAAACACTACTGCAGCCGTTTCGCATTAACCCTTTTTGCCATCCCCAATCGGTTCAGCAGTTGGGGGCATCTGAAAACTCCGGGATCCCGGCTTGTTGCCGCAGAAGCACGGTGTCACTGCCTGCATTGCAATGCTCATGTCAACAGCCTCCAACTTTCAGTTCCATCGAAAGGCCTGCATGGACTCCCTGAAGCCAGAGCGAACCTGGGTGGCAGGGCCGGCTGCGCGGACTAATGCATGTGGCTCTCGGTTACAAAGCTTCCTGCTGACCAAAACCGGCAGCCAGCGATGCATCCGCCTCAGCTTGCATGGATGCACTCCTGATTTCGCGATCCCGGGCATGCTATGCATGCTGTGCAGCTGAGCCGCGCCATGCTCCAAGCCGTGGTCTGGTAGAAATGATTATGTAGAACGCAGCCAACAGATAAATCCGTCGGCAACGGTTGGCCAAGCTTTTAGGTTCTGAAGCTGTGCAGCTAGCGGTGAATCGTGCATTCAAGCAGAAGGCTCAACCACTGTGTCACTGCGTGTCGCTGTGCACTCGGACTCCCCCTGTCGCATGTGTTGTGCCATGGTGGGCTTGTTGCTGTGGCCGCTGAGTTCACAGCCCGGCTCCACCAACTCGGCTGAAACTGCCCGCCTCATGCAACTCCCACTGCACGGCTCCAAGCGCGAAGGCCGATGCAGTTTCAAAGCTGCTCTTTTAACACTTCCGCGGCCCGTGCATGCAGCAAGCCCCTGGATATCCGGCAGTCTTTGGCCAGGACAGAAAATCAGACATGTAAGTTCGCTTGAACAAGCAGTTGACTTGCCTTGCGGATTGCTGCGAATTCATGACGCCAGGGTTACTGCCCCTCCTCCTCAGCTTGGTGGTATGCGAGGTGCAGCTCCTTGAGTATTGAAGTGTAGAATCCGCTACGGAAACTTCGACCGATCTCTCCCCATATAGAACCCCCGACTTTCAAGGAAGCGAGCTCATGCCAACCTCGTTGATGTACCAGGTCGTGATCGCGCACCTGTCCCCTTGAAGCACAGGCTGATATCATGTGAATCAACTGTGCAAAGACCTGAGCTGCTGGCGCCGGCTCCTTCGTACTTCGTGGGGCACGGACGAATCGCTGAAGAAAGCAACCAAGCCTCTGCATTCTACGCCACTGCTGTAGCTGTTTGCTCAACCGGGGCGGGTCGGCAAACTCGTTCAGAGCTGAAAGACAGATGTTGCGACACGGCACGGTTCATTACTGGCTCCACGTCGACTTTGATTTGCTTCTGATCCTCCTCGAACCTCATCTGCTCAACTCTGCACGCAGGAGAAAAACTATCAACGAGCAACCGAGTCCCATACAATCTGATCTCGCCACCATCGTGCTCCGCATCCCAGTCTTCATTCAAGTAAAAGGTGCATGTCAGCAGTCCTGACTTGCACAACATCACCAACAAACAAGGTACAGTTTTTTTCTTTTGCTACACTGTAGTGTGGCCATGAAGCTGCCATTGCAACCATCTTCGTTGTCCACATGCCTGATGTATCTGGCGTCATCCTTGATTGCTTCAGCTGCTTGCCGTGTACTTGGCATGTCCAGACTGCTTGTCTCAACAAGGCCGCCCAGATGCGTTTTCTGGGCTGCCAGGGAAGACCGCAAATTGGGCATCTGATAGTGCGGTGATGCCCTGCATCCGAGCCTGGATTTTGGCCTGCACAGCGAATCATAAGGGCCGGCTGAACTCTCGCAGATACGAGTTCGTTAAACGAACCTCGGGGATGTCCATCAACAGGCTGACCAAGGCATTTGTGTGCTCTACAAGCGGGCCTGGGATGTTGCAGAGCAACATGCCGAAACAAGCGCCCAGCCACAGACAGTAATGCCGTCGAGGAACCAAGCTCCGGAACTTCAGAAGGTTGCAGCCACAGAACCCTTTGCTGCACAAGGTCATCAAACATTGAAGTACAGCTGCAGAAGACACATTGGTAGTAGTTGCCGTGGCAGTGGCAGCGGTCGCGGTCGCACATGTCGGTACTGATGGGTGTTAATGCTTTGTGGCGACCGCCGGCTTTCAAAATTTAGCAACCCCACTTGCAGGCAGTGAGAACATAAACACACCGACAACAAAGCTGTATCTACATGCACAGTGCAATAGCAGATGTCGATACCAGGCTGCTTGTCGCCACGACCTGTCATTCCGTAGTTTCGACGGACAATCGTGCGATCTGGCTTTGCAAATGTCACAACGCGGCATACATGCCAGAAGTACCATACGCAGAAAGCTCCGAATCCGTCCTGCCTAAAGGTGCAGCCAACAGACAAAACTCCAAGAGCACGCACGCATTCTGAATGCAGCAGTGATGCCTGGCTGCATCTTCGGTCTCCTCTTCTCAAGAGCCTTTGCCAGCTCCCGGGCATCTGCGAGGGGAAGAAAGTCATCCTTAGAAAGCTACGGCAAGGTAGGGCAAGGCCAAGGCCCCATCGAAACCACCGGCAAGCCGAGGAGCCAAAACCAGGAAGTCCTCGTTTTCCAACGCCTTCGGACCGGGCTAAGAAGTCCATGCAAACAGCCAGCAGGACACAGCTGGACACTAACTCCTTGATCCAGACACGTCCTGCTTCGGGAGTAGCCCACCAGGCCTGACATGGGCCAGAATCACGAGAGTTCAACACCCTTTCACGTGCACTGAGCTCGGAGCCCCCTCCTTGCTTGCAAAGCTTTTGCGAACCCGGCTCAAGGGCTCAAAGATGGTGTCCTGTGGGCGCACATCCCCCAGTAGTCCTCAATGACTTCGCTGCCAGAACAGCACAGGCAACTTAGGCAGCCACTACTAAGCGCTTGCGGGTCTTGGGGCTCGGAGGTCGAACCGCTTGCCTCAGCACCGACCGTTGAAGAAGAGATACTGTTCTCCGTTCCGACGAAATGCCAAGCTGCCAATAATCTATTTCATACCTCAGAAAATCATCAGGCCCATGTATTCATGCTCCTGCATCCACGATGTGCCATCACATTCGGCGCGTGGCTGCAACATCCACTGTTCGCGCTCCCCATTCTTTAGGACCTCCCCGCTGGGCAGGATCAGGAAAAGGGAGCCTGCCTCGCGGCGAAAACAGATGATGAGCACCGAAGCACAGACTGTTTTCTGTCACCTGATATCAACCTCAAGGCACGCATCGGGCGGGTCCGCGGAGAGACTAGTAGGCTTCCGAAAGCACAGGCCGCTTGAAGCGGGTGCGGATAATAGACATACAAGACGCACGCGCGCAAACACACACACACACACACACTTACTTAGAAAAGTGGTTTCTGCACTCACGGACAGATGTACCTGAAGTACATACGCTAGCTGTTAGTGCACAGGAGACTCCGTTGCTGTGTGTAATCAAACATGGGGTCGAGCCATCATGAATGTCAGATTG